ATTGAGATTATGCCGCTGAATACAGCGAACCCCAGTTGAAACGCATACATGAGAATGCTTGTTTCATTTAAACTTGTTCGCATGGCCTTAACTATCGGCGTGTCCTCAGAGCGATTACATGCTACTATGTGTTGCTCCAGCTGTATGAACACAGATGCGTAAATGCTGCTGCAAATATGCTTTTTTCAATTAGCAGGCCAGGTAATATACACAGGGATATGGATTAAAACAGCATTCATTTATTTTAGATGTGGATTTCAGATGTTCTGAAACACGCTGCAACAGTTGATTTGCGAGCAGCGATGCTTAATTTGCTCCGGAGCAAGCTGAAAAGCTGCTGAATAATACTGAATAGAGCTTATATAGGAATGCCACGATAGGTGTCATATTCCTATAGGTAGATGTGATCAGCTGAGAATCAGCTGATGCAAGCTTGACTCACATGACCTGCCAGAACTAACGCTAACGCTTAATTTATTGTCTATCAAAAAAAAGAGTCGGCTCGCAATCGCCTAGACGAGTCCTCAGGAATTCGAATCTTATTCTGTTACGGCTCTATGTCACAAAGTAACACATTTGCATAATGTCCGCCCACGTTCTACGTCGCCAACTTGCCCGCCCACAAACAGTAACATTTCTGTGTGGTTATTATCATGTCGAGAAGACGTTGTATCCTACGCTGTGAGAGTAAGTTTGTTTTATCACATCTTATAATTACCACAAACTTGTTAACACTTGACACTTACCTCTGAGAAACGTCCTGCTCCAGTCGTGCATGCGAATCAGTCTCTTGTCGATCAGCCAGTTCTACCGTTTCGTCATCAGACTCTGGCTCGAATTGGTAAGGTTCAATCGATACCATCTTTTCTATGTATTGTCAAGTCTCCAGGGCTGTCATTCCATCATGGCAATGGGTGTTTCGTTTCCGACACGTGCTGTACGCGGTAGACCAATCCAGAGCCAATCTCTCTGCGGCTCTGGACCAATCACAAAGGACTGCGCCATCTGACCAATCACAGCTGTGAGGGCTCATGGAAAGGAGGGGTTTAGAGAGACTGATTCTTTGAACTGCTTTGCACGAGTCGTTTACGAAAAATTTTGAAATGAGGTCAAATTAAATCTGTTTTTTGAGAAAACTAATGTGTTTTTGACCTTGCATGCATGTAAACCTGTTTTAGGAGACCTGTGAAACAATATTAGCAACCTTAAAAATGGCGTAATAGGGGCACTTTAAGTTTTTAGTCTTTCTGCAATTTTTCTGTCACTGTAGGAGGTCAAATGAGTTTCAATGAAGACTGCCCATTCAAGGAATATATTAATTAAGGAGGTTTCTCTGTTTGACTTGTGCTTTTTTTAAAGCATTATTTTAAATTTCTTTCTGGGTTAAATTCCGTATTTGCTTGCCTTTATTCATATTCATTTAAGTTGTATGCTTATGTGAATATCATAAAATAACACATGTAACATGTAACCAAAAAAAAAAAGAAACTTAAAAAAATTGAGTGTTTGATAATGTCTAAAAGTACATTCAAATGCAAAAAAAATAAAAAAATTGTAATATAAATAATAAGCATATTACCAAATGTTACACTTAAGGTGTTTGGTCACATTTGACTGACAAGTAGTATGAGAACATATTAATCATATTAATTAACATAATAATGCTTTTGTAAAGCGTAGTCAGCGTAGATATTAGTGGTGGGCGATATGACCAAAATCTTGTCACGTTATGAGTAATTTTATTTCACAGTAACGATTCATATAACGATATAGTTATTTTTGCTTTAAATAAGGTCTTTATGATATCAAAATTTTGATACCATAGAAATGTTATATTTCTTGTCACCAGTGTCAATATCACAAAAAAATTAATACTAGCCTAAATTTATAAAAAACAACAAACAAAACTCAAGCTCACTGAAGGCAAGTAAACAGTCACTGATTAAATAAGAATAAGAAACTAATTACAAGCAACAAGACAAAAAAAAAACTACAGTTAGAACAAATAAATAAGAAATGCTACATACTTTGTATAAAGTAATCAAATATATAAAAACACTGCATATTCTTCACTGTGTAAATGAAATGTTTCTTCTTATTAAACTTACAAAAGTGATTTAGTCAAGAGCAGTGAGAGATCTTCTCGTTTTTGTTCTTTGATTAACAGGAATGACAGAGAGCAGGAATATTAGACTGCTGTCACTTTAAGAGCTGCCCGGATCCAATATACTGTTACACATGTGTTTTCTTTCTCAGCTGTCTGCTTTCACTTAAGACCTAAATTACCTGCTGATTGCTGATTTCAACGGCTTCAAATCACGTAGACAAAAAAAAAACATTGTTAAAGTGAATTAAAATAAGAAAGATCTTGATATAGTTGATTTAGCTTGTTTTAATGCTTATTTTAAATCAATTCAAGTCATCTTGAGGGCCTTTTGGAGGTTTGCTAAGGCCTAATCTGATCTGTTGTCATTCACAGATGAGGAAACCGAAGGATTGTGATGAGCATCTGTGTGTCGACCAAACTCAGAACACACTGGACGCACAGGTAACACACACACTCTCTCTTTCTCTTGTCTTACGTGTGTTTGTTATATTATCTGTCTCATAATGTCGTGGTGTGTGTGATTGTCGTACACACAGGGTTGGTCTGTCTCTGTCTCTGGTCTGTTAATGCTGTGCTGTAGTAACTGCTCGTCAGCACATGATCACAGAGCTTCATTCAGTGAAGAACAGATGCTTCGTTGAAACGCTGAGCCTTTCTTTCTCTCTCAGATTCCTCTGTAAATGATATCCGCACTAATTGATCCAGACGGCTCTAGAGTCACTGCTGAGGGCATTAGCACACACATACTACTTTTGTTTTTCATCTGACAAGGTTGTTTCTGAATCTTTAAATAACCATATTCTCCCTCCTCAGTCCCAAAGTATGAGGATAGAGATACGAACCCCCTCCCCCCCCCCCCCCCAAATTTCACATCAACACTCAATAAATATGGGTTTTTCAATGGCTGCTTCTTAAACTCTTACCCACAATCTTAAATACGTGACCAGCACGCTGCAAAAAAAAAAATGGTTTAAGCTTCGAATGACTTTTTTTTTACTTTTCCAGCTGAACCATCCTTGAAAGTCCTTGAAACATGATAAATGTACTTGAGAAACAACACTGCATGAGAAATGACGATGTGTTTTAATAGACTGTATCTTAAATATGAGTGTGTTTTGTCTTCCTGCACAGTTTGTTACTTATTTCAAGGATTTTGAGATGTTAAATAAGACAAAAATACTCATTAAGAAGATATTTTTTGCATTGTAGTTGTTTAGAATTACTAGCTCACAGCCTAAAGCACTGAAAAAAGATCGGAAGTACCTTTTATGAAAAATGAGATATTTATTTGCTGTGTTTATTTATTTATTAAATATAAATAAAATAAATGAATACATTTCATAAAATGATTGATCTAACCGAACAGTATTTATGGGAAATTTTGATTCATGGAGTCATGATGCAACGACAAAACAATTCCTGACCAGTTTTCCTGCAATATAATTTAGTGCATTGTTAAATACATTAACTGATAAGAATTAAGATCACTGATAACATGCCTAATAATTGCACCACACACTGCAGTAAATAAAATGAATATTTTATTTTTTTAAATTATTTCAGGCCTGTGGGATGGCATTTGACTTCGGCTGCTATGTGCCCACATTCACTGTCAGATTGTGTTCGGCCCACACACACACACCCACACATAGACTGTATCTTAAATATGAGTGTGTTTTGTCTTCCTGCACAGTTTGTTACTTATTTCAAGGATTTTGAGATGTTAAATAAGACAAAAATACTCATTAAGAAGATATTTTTTGCATTGTAGTTGTTTAGAATTACTAGCTCACAGCCTAAAGCACTGAAAAAAGATCGGAAGTACCTTTTATGAAAAATGAGAGATTTATTTGCTGTGTTTATTTATTTATTAAATATAAATAAAATAAATGAATACATTTCATAAAATGATTGATCTAACCAAACAGTATTTATGGGAAATTTTGATTCATGGAGTCATGATGCAACGACAAAACAATTCCTGACCAGTTTTCCTGCAATATAATTTAGTGCATTGTTAAATACATTAACTGATAAGAATTAAGATCACTGATAACATGCCTAATAATTGCACCACACACTGCAGTAAATAAAATGAATATTTTATTTTTTTTAATTATTTCAGGCCTGTGGGATGGCATTTGACTTCGGCTGCTATGTGCCCACATTCACTGTCAGATTGTGTTCGGCCCACACACACACACACACACACACACACACACACATCTGTGTTCACCTGGGAGATAGAGCGCTATAGTGTTACACAGAGAGAGAGAGAGAGAGAGAGACCTGTCTGTGTAAACATCTCACCTACTTCTGCTCTGTGATTCACTTTATTTAAAGGCTCATAAAATGTTATATTCAAGGCTGTTAATCATTTAAATATTTAACCGTGATTAATTGCATCATTTTATTCTAATTAACAGATTGAAGTCAGAGTAAACTCAATAAAAGGTGCATGTGTGCTTGTGAAGATTATCCTCAAACTGCATCAAAACACACAGGAATAGACATGCATTAATATAATCTTATTTTAAAGATGCAGTTCTCTTCTTCATATTTCTATGAATCTCTCGTGGGTTATATTTCACTTATTGATCTTCATTGATCATTGATCTTCACCACACAAACACGCCAAACGACTTTTGTTAAACATCACATCTAGGTTTGATTTATAAGTCACCCATAAAAAGAGTTTTTAACCCATCATTTAGTGATAACAGGAGCTCTGCTGATTTCTGTGCATGTGTGATCAAATCCTGTTTTAATCAGCTGAAAATGTTCAGATCCAACTTTAGAAACCACAAAGTTATAACAATTATTAAGTTATTATGCTTACATGCATTAGCAGCATTAAAACATTGTTTAATTCAGTGTTAATTTAGTGTCATTGAGATTATATACTATTATAATTTTATTAATAGTTTTTTATTTTTTTATATTTTCTGTTTTCATTTTATTTCATTTAAAGTATTAGTAAATTTGAGCGTTTTTCTCATTTTTATTTATTTTTTCAATAGAGTTTTTTTTTCAGTTTTATTTTTAGTCATTTGAAAATGAAGAAATGTTGCCTTGGCAACTAGTTGAAGTAAAATACGTTTTTTATATGTTTTATTTGATTTCAGTTAACGTTTATTTTATTTCAAGAAACTCTTAAAGCATGGTTGCAATGTGTTCATTGTCAAACTCCAAAATCTGATTATTTTTAATTCTTAAAAAACGCCATTATTTTATTTGAAAATTTTTTATTTTATTTTATTAACAAAATGTTTTAGTTTGTCGTGTATATTTTTTTCATTCGATCAGATAACATTTTAAGCTGTCATATCATATGGTCATGTTACAACGTGCCCCTCAGATGTTATAATGTACCCCACCTACGGGGCATGTTGTCACATTTCACTTCCATTTTTTGAGGGTAAAGAAAAATGTATACACTGTAATCATGAAACAAAGCGACATTTGTACTAGACAAGTGTAAAATTACTGTGGATTAAAAAAATTATATTCTGAACCCCATGTGGATTTACAAAAACTGAGAAAGTCAAAAAGTGTTACTTTGTGCCCCGCTCTCCCCTATGTTTATATAAAATATAAGGCTGTAATTCTGCATTCACTGCTTGTTAGACTGTATTATGTGTCTGTGAATGGGAAAAGGTTTTTTACCGTCTCTCTCTGTGTGTCTCAGGGTTCATCGGGCCGGACGCGAAGTTTCTCTCTGCTTCCTCACCTCCCTCCGTCTTCCTCTCCTGTATCTCAGAGACATCTGCCTCTCCACGGGCCTCCGAGCAACATCGTTACCATCACGCACCACAAGTCGCCTGCAGCCGCCCGCCGTGCCAACAGCCAGTACCCAGAGCGCATCCTGGAGGTCAAAGAGGTCAGACACACACCTCAAACACTGGACCGACATTTATATTTATATGATGCTCCTCACTTAAGCTCCTGTCTGATCTAATTCAGAATTAAAGAATACTCAAAATATATTTAGGCCTAAATGTAAGATTTGTGTATTTGAATTGCAAATAAAATGTCCATCCATTAAGATTATACAGTTTTAACATAAACTAATAAACTTAATCTGATGCATATTTGTCAGTCCTACATTTTCTAATTTGTTTTAATCTCATATATTTTCACTAATTGAATACTGCTGGTTCCACAGCCAGCCATTTTTGAACCATATTCATACTTTTAACTGACTAAATGTGACCCTGAGCCACAAAACCAGTCATAAGGGTCAAATTTTCGAAGTTGAGATTTACACATCTTCTGAAAGCTGATTAAATAAGCTTTCCATTGATGTATGGTTTATTAGGATAGGACAATATTTGGCATATCCGAGATAAAACTATTTGAAAATCTGGAATCTGAGGGTGCAAAAAAAATCTAAATATTGAGAAAATCATCTTTAAAGTTGTCCAAATGAAGTTCTTAGCAATGCATATTACTAATCAAAAATTAAGTTTTAATATATTTATGGTAGGATATTTACAAAATATCTTCTTGAAACATGATCTTTATTTAATAGCCTAATGATTTTTGGCATAAAAAAAATCTATAAATTTGACCCATACAATGTATTTTTGGCTATTGCTACAAATATATCCCAGCGACTTAACACTGCTTTTGTGCTCCAGGGTCACAAATGTAATTGTTTTCACAATGAACAGATTTATGCTGATTCTAAACAACTGGAATAAATTCATTTTGAAAATATGATTATTTAAATCAAATCAAATAGGTAATAATAAACTATGGCATGGTTTTTTTTCTGAGTGCAGAAATCTGACCCGTTTTACTTATGTATGACTAAAAATATATGCATCATATTGAGTTTATTAATTTATGTTAAAATAAAAGTGTTGTTAAAATGGTGTTCCATCCAAATGGATGGAAATTTTAAATGCAATTCAATTACTTCTTTCAATTAATGTCCATGATTGTGAAGTGAATTCCACACATTCCACAGGAGATTGAATTGGACTTTGGAAGAGGAAATGACTGAATTGAAATTCAACACAGCATAAGAATTTAATTAGTCCAATAGTGAGACAAAACATAAATATCTGAATTAGCTTTTTATTTCAACTAAAGTGCCTTTTTATTCCCTGAAATGCAGAAATTTGTTTATTTCTGAACTGATTCAATAGTTTATAAAACAATCAAAACAATTAAATCAGATTTAGCTTAATAATAAATAATAAGTAACAAAATCAAATGGCATTCTGGGAAATTAAATGTTCTTTCGCATCATCCATAAATCTTATTTTCCACCATAATTTGCAAATAATTTCTTTAAAATTTCTCCATGGTGTTTTTCTGGATTTTTTTTTCTCATTTTGTCTCTCATAGTTGAGGTATACCTATGATGAAAATTACAGGCCTCTCTCATCTTTTTAAGTGGGAGAACTTGCACAATTGGTGGCTGACTAAATACTTTTTTCCCCCACTGTATAATTAATCAAACAGTGCTAGATCAAGCTTTAATCTGTGCAAACCAAACTATCACCAGAGAGATAAATCATGACATAATATGGAAAGTGACACTGACCATGTTTAATACTGTAAATCTGCTTGCTTTAAAGTGATCTATTCTATAAAGCGCTATATAAATAGACGTGAGGAATTGCAGAGCTGGAGCAAATATCCACATCGCTGTGATCAGATGCTTTCTTAACTGCTGTTTTCTCACCGCTGTCATTTTTGCTGTGCGTTTATTTTGTTATTGAGAGGAAAGCATGCAGCTCATATTTCCATATTCTGGATGTTTGCTAACAGTAAAGCGCTGCTTGCTTATACTGTATCAAACTTATTTTTACCTCTAAGTGAAGAATGGAAACGAGCTTCGCCGTGAGTATATCGGAGTCATCACCCACAGCAGCAATTTATTTGTAATTTTTAAAAACGTACTTTTATTGTCTACATTATCGATAATGTCGACTAATCATTTCAGCCCTACCTTCAATATAGTGAAAGTCACTTTGGATAAAATCATCTGCAAAATAAATACAAATATGTAATTTAAGTAACACCTCCTGTTCACTGCATGTTTCTCCTCATGTAAACTGTCATTTTGAGCTGTGCTGGGTTTTATTTCTGTGCCAGAACATCATTTAGAGAATTAAATAAGCCCTGCGTCAGCTGAAACATTATTACCTCATCTATCACAGCTCATGTGATCATCTACATCAACTACAACTGAACCTATAGCGCTTTGATTTCAGGCCCTCGATTATCACATCAGCAATAAAGTCAAGTCATTTCAGAGGTGGAGATAGTTTTGATGAAAGATTATGAAGATGCTAAACAAGTTTAATTTTTTTTTTACAATAATAAAGAAGTCTTTTCTGCTCACCAAGCCTGCATTTATTTAATTATAAATACAGTAAAAACAGTCAAACTGAAATATTATTACAATTTAAATTAACTTTTTTCCCCCTGTTTCAATATATTGGAAAGTGTAACTTACTCCTGTGATGCAAAGCTGAATTTTCAGCATCATTACGCCAGTCTTCAGTGTCACACGATCCTTCAGAAATTATTCTAATATGCTGATTTGCTGCTCAAGAAACATTTCTGATTATTAGCAATGTTGAAAACAGCTGTGCTGATTCATATTTTTGTGGAAACCATGATACATTTAAATTTTCAGGGGTCTTTGATGAATAGGAAGCTCAAAAGGACAGCATTTCTTTGAAATATCTTTTGTAACATCATAAAGGTCGTAGGGAAGTGGGGAAGTCACTGAGAGGAGGACTCGTCGTAACCCAAAGGTTGTGGGTTCGAGTCTCGTACCGGCAGGGATTGTAGGTGGGGGGAGTGAATGTACAGCGCTCTCTCTCCCACCTTCAATACCACGACTGAGGTGCCCTTGATCAAGGCACCGAACCCCCAACTGCTCCCCGGGATTCTGATGATATCCCAGTTTAATCCCAAGGGTTGTGTTCCAGTTAGTAGTGAAACTGAATGACGCCACCTGATGGTCAACCGCAGTAAAGCTCCTTCCTCATTTCTTCAGGTTATGATTCAGGTCGAGGGGCAGCTACAGCGCTCTCTCTCCCACCTTCAATACCACGACTGAGGTGCCCTTGAGCAAGGCACCGAACCCTCAACTGCTCCCCGGGCGCCGCAGCATAAATGGCTGCCCACTGCTCCGGGTGTGTGTTCAAGGTGTGTGTGTGTTCACTGCTGTGTGTGTGTGTGCACTTTGGATGGGATAAATGCAGAGCACTAATTCCGAGTATGGGTCACCATACTTGGCCACATGTCACGTCACGTCATGTCACTTTTGATCAATTGTATGCATCCTTCATTAATAAATCTATTAATTTCTTTATAATTAAAAAAAAAGAAATCTTGCATCAGAATCAGTGTATTATTGTAAAAACAGACTTGAGAGTTTTCTGATGCTATCCCAGTTTAATCCCAAGGGTTGTGTTCCAGTTAGTAGTGAAACTGAATGACGCCACCTGATGGTCAACCGCAGTAAAGCTCCTTCCTCATTTCTTCAGGTTATGATTCAGGTCGAGGGGCAGCAGAAGAGTCTGGTCCAGTCCATCGAGTCTCTGCCGATGCGAGGATCCCTGTCCTGTTTGGATCAGGACCTGCTACTGCTGAAAGCCACCTCTGCCGCTACCCTGAGCTGCCTTGGCGAGTGCCTGAATATATTACAGCAGAGCGCCGGACACAACCACGGGCCGCCCTCCGGTGAGTCCAATACGGACACCCTACAGACGCCCATGGCTCCTCCAGACCCGGAGCCGGCCAAAGATCAGGGCGAGGTCGACTGTGGCCCCTGTCCGTATCTAACGGACCCCATGCAGCTAAACGTTTGTAATAAATGTTGTTGAAGGGCTGTTCATTGTTCATGCTGCATGTTCAGTGTTTGTGTGAGTTCATCTGTATTTTGGTTCTTGATTTGAATTGTTTGTTCATTCAGTTCTGTGCCTGATTATATACTACTGCTGAAAGCCACCTCTGCCGCTACCCTGAGCTGCCTTGGCGAGTGCCTGAATATATTACAGCAGAGCGCCGGACACAACCACGGGCTGCCCTCTGGTGAGTCCAATACGGACACCCTACAGACGCCCATGGCTCCTCCAGACCCGGAGCCGGCCAAAGATCAGGGCGAGGTCGACTGCGGCCCCTGTCCGTATCTAACGGACCCCATGCAGCTAAACGTTTGTAATAAATGTTGTTGAAGGGCTGTTGATTGTTCATGCTGCATGTTCAGTGTTTGTGTGAGTTCATCTGTATTTTGGTTCTTGATTTGAATTGTTTGTTCATTCAGTTCTGTGCCTGATTATATCATTTGTATTCGTGCTTGAGTGTGTAACACGTTCAGGGATGACACCACCGTCCCATAATGCATGATTCATGTGAGTGTTTCGAATCTGATTCCTGTTGCATTTCAATGCTGGACTAACCACATGCCAAAGAAACACACACTCACACACTGGTGCCTGAAAACTCAAAACGACCCAGTGGATCCCATTAAACATTTCAGAACGACCCTGACATGGACTCAGGTGCTTCACTCAGGGCGTCAAAATCAATCGCCATGATTTTAGATTTGATTTTGTTTTATGTTTTTAATTTTTATTAATTTTTTATGTTGATTCACTCGGCCAAAAACAACTAAAAGAACAAAACGGGAACTCCTTGATATCAGTGGACACCTTCGCTGTCTTTCTTTCTCCGAGAAGAAACACTTGAGAGCTGAATGACTCTGTACCTGATCTGAGTATTGTATTTTCATTTTTGAATGTTAATCTTCAGATCTCAGGTTCTGTTCCTTGTGTTTGGAGAGAACAGCGGAATGCTATTTTTCTTCAGTTTTGTAAAACATGGTTTTGAAAACTTGTTCCTCTCTCGCCCTGAATGCTTCAGGTGAGTTCAAACTGAGGTGGAAATGAAACGGTATTGGTGTACTGAATGGTCTGAATCCAAACTGATCGCGTAGAATGTTTCTGATGTTACAGAAATTAATTAAAGGAATGAGTTCAGATGACACCATTGATCTCTGACTGAGGACTATTGTGGACTAGTTATATATATATATATATATTGAGGGGGCGGGGCCTGCAGATCCAAACAGGAGGGAAACGCCAATCAGGTAAATACACCTTGTGTGTCTTGTTTGCATGATCCGTTTGCGCTTCATCACAATGATCAGCCAGACATTTCACGTGTTCTGGTCTGTGCATGGATATTTCTCTGCATGGCCTGTGTGAGGATCTTTTTTCCAGCTTATTCCAAAATGAATGAATTAATCTGAAGTGATGCTTGTTGCTGTCAGATGTAGTTTTGATGTAGTGTTTTGGAGGAGAATCACAGTCTTTTAATTTTCTGACATTTTAATTAGGCTATTTCTAGCTGAAAACCTCAGTTTTCAGTGTTTAAATCTTTTAGGTTCACCAAGGCTGCATTTATAAATACAGTAAAAAAAAAAAACTGTAAAAATGTGGACTATTATTACAATTTAAAATAGCTGTTTTGTATTTTAATATATTTTTTAATGTATTATATTTTAACATTTATTCATGCGATTTACAGTCTTAAGAACCTGAAGGCCTGTTCACACACTAACTATAACAGTAACGATGAAGATATCGTTTTTAAAATCATCCAAAATAATAAATAACAAGAATAGCAGAGTCAAACTATGATAACAACAGAGAGGAACGACATCATTGGAATAACTTTCAGAGTGATTTTTTTTTCCAGCTGGTTTTTTATTGCTCAGAGGTTGCTTATTCAGAGCTCGGAGGATTATTGGAGTTTAAGTGTCAAACATTCGGCTGAAACCCTGTTGAAAATACAGCATATGCTGGTTAGGTATGTTTTGAAGCATGGCTGATGGTTTGAGCTGGTCCTGAGCAGGAGAGCTTAGGACCAGCTCATGACCAGCTTAAACCAGCTCAAACCAGCAGCCATGCTTCAAAACATACCTAACCAGCATATGCTGGTTTTTAAGACACCACATTTACTCTCCGTGAAATCTGACTGCTGACTAGGAGAAAACAATTGAGATCTCATTGGTGATTTTTCTTCTTTTCTTGGGTTAAGCAGTAAGGAGACTCAAAGGAAAGCGTTAGTAAATCTCTCTAGAGTGTTTCTGATATTAGTCATATGGGTTAGAGTTCAAGTAAACAGTCTGTATATAGTCATCAAAAGTGATTTCAGCTCTGAGTCTGACATGATCGTTTATGTAAATGATAAGAATTATATTCCAGCCGTGGTTGTTTATTTCAGTTTTCTGAGCTAGATGATTTCTGAAGCATGCATCTCATGCATTAATAAAATAATATCTCCATAAATTAATATCGGGTTCAATTTCTGATGCTCTATCTATCTATCTCTTTTATTAAAGTGCTAATAATCTACAGCTTAATGGGCCACAATGTCTCAAAGACAGTGTATTTACATTTTAGTTCAGTCAGAAATTGTATATGGCTGAATGTAAAGAAAACCCGAGATCTCAGAAATATGAGAGCAGATGCCAAGTTCATCCTGCCCTGATAATACTTTGATCGTGAGATCATGAGAATTTGAGATGTTTTTGCATCAGCACAAGAGCTTAAACCCTTTCACATCTTTTCACAACACACTGAACTGCTGCAGGGCCAGGGGCCTCTGAAGTTTTGAATACATATACAATTAACTGATTATTTTTATAAAAAATACATAATACAGTGTTAAAACTGCCATTCTGTGATATGTGCGATGTTTTTCATGTGGTGGTCAAAGCAGCATATGGTGTTTGTGTTAAAAGTTGTGAATCATTCCCGCGGAGAAAAAAAACTGCTAAGGTGGTTTGCCCTTTTTAGCTGGTTTCCACTGGTCAGGCAGTTATAGTTTGATGGGCTTTTGTCAACCAGCTAAACTATGTAGGCTAAGCCATCTTAGGCTGGTCTTTTCAGCAGTGTCATCAGCGTGATGGACTGAAGTTCACTAATTGATTTGGTTTTGAGTTTCGGCGTGATGTGTAACTGCTGACCGCTGGTCGTGTGTTCTTCATTCCTGCAGATAATGTTCCCACGTGGACCGTCCCAAAGTCGCCCTCAGGAGAACGTCTGAGGAGCGGCGGTGCTACTACCCTGAGCTCCACTGAGCCCTCGCCCACCCTCAGGAAAACAATCCTGCTGCAGAACCCTGAGGTAGAACCACTTACTGTCTGAGACTGGAGCAAGATTATGCATTATATTACCGTTCAAAAGTTTGGGGTCGGTAAGATTTTGTAATGTTTTTGAAAGAAGTCTCTTATGTCCACTGAAGCTGCATTTATTTGACCAAAAGTACAGTAAAAACAGTATTATTGTTAAATATTATTACAATTTTCTATTTTAAATGTAGTTTATTGTGATGCGCAGCTGAATTTTGATGAAAATTGATTTTTTTTTTTAAGTATAAAGAAAATATAATTCAAATAATTAAATATTTTTTCAATTATTATTATTATTATTTTTTTTTTTATTAAAGCTTAAATTAAGACCGTGTATATGATTTGTGTGTTTGCTGCAGGATGGGACGGAGGTGATTTCTCCTGAAGAGGAGGTGATGGATTCAGATGATAACACTGAAGATGATCTGTGTGTGTTGGATGACCAGAGGAGTGTCATTCTGCATCTGCTGTCTCAGCTCAAACTGGGCATGGATCTCACACGCGTACGAATCACAACACCACCACATTAATATCAGGTAATATTAGTGTTTCATTTGACATTACAGTATCTCTCTGTGTGCAGGTTGTTCTTCCCACCTTCATCCTGGAGAAGCGTTCACTACTGGAGATGTACGCTAACTTCATGGCGCACCCAGACCTGTTCCTGTCCATCTCCGCCGGAAGCACCCCGGAGGAGCGTATGGTGCGTTTTGTCGAGTATTACATGACCGCCTTCCATGAAGGACGTAAGGGCGCCGTCGCCAAGAAGCCCTACAACCCGGTGCTAGGAGAGTCCTTCCACTGCTCGTGGGAGGTTCCACGAGATCCCGTCCGCCCTCTGAGGACTGAGACGAGCCCCAGGACCAATCAGGAGTCAGACTCTTACAGGGTGCGTTTTGTGGCGGAGCAGGTTTCCCATCATCCTCCGGTGTCGGGGTTTTACTGCGAGTGTGCGGAGAGAGGCATGTGCATTCACTACTGGAGATGTACGCTAACTTCATGGCGCACCCAGACCTGTTCCTGTCCATCTCCGCCGGAAGCAACCCGGAGGAGCGTATGGTGCGTTTTGTCGAGTATTACATGACCGCCTTCCATGAAGGACGTAAGGGCGCCGTCGCCAAGAAGCCCTACAACCCGGTGCTGGGAGAGACCTTCCACTGCTCGTGGGAGGTTCCACGAGATCCCGTCCGCCCTCTGAGGACTGAGACGAGCCCCAGGACCAATCAGGAGTCAGACTCTTACAGGGTGCGTTTTGTGGCGGAGCAGGTTTCCCATCATCCTCCGGTGTCGGGGTTTTACTGCGAGTGTGCGGAGAGAGGCATGTGCGTCAACACACACATCTGGACCAAGAGCAAGTTCATGGGCATGTCAGTGGGCGTCTCTATGGTGGGCGAAGGTGGGTGGCGTTCTCTTCATCTACACTGAAAAAATTTGGTGAAAATTTTCACTCTGAAATTACTAGTAAGGAATAGTTCACGCAAAAATGACAATTTGCTAAAAATGTACTCATCCTCAGGCCATCCAAGATGTAGGCGAGTTTGTTTCTTCATCAGAACAGATTTGGAGAAATGTAGCATTACATCACTGCAGTGAATGGGTGCCGTCAGAATGAGAGTCCAAACAGCTGATAAAAACATCACAATAATCCACAAGTTATCCACACCACTCCAGTCCAGCAATCACTGTCTTGTGAAGTGAAAAGCTGAGTGTTTGTAAGAAACAAATCCATCATTAAGATGTTTAAAAAATCATCTCTTCTGAATCAGGAGAGAAATATGCACATATTAGGCACCATTTACAAATGAAAACAGTCCAAAACAGTTCTAAACAAATATGTGGGTGGATTTTGATGTCAGAAACTTTATCACTGGAGGAAGTGTAATTATGTATTATGGACTTATATTTTACTACTTGTGGATTATTTTATTGATTTTGGGGTGAACTATTCCTTTAATGACAAAGAAACGGCAAGTGCATTAAATGTGCAATTGTGAAGATGAAAGACTGAAATACTATTTTCTTTTAAAACATACTCTAATAATCTTTGTTTTTTACAGTGTACATACTAAATACAAGAATGTAGTTTACTATTTATTAAGATTAAGTTATCTGTAAATCATGATGCTAGCATTATATTATCTGTTAAAAACATCACAGTACATAGAGTAACACCACTTATTTTTCCTCTTGACCATGTTACTAAATCTCAACACACTTATATTATTATTATTTTGTTAACAACTGTTTTATTGAGTATTGAAATGTTATATTAATCTTGACTTTTCATATGTACATCAACATCTGAACAGTTTTGAGGTTAAGTGATCTAATTTCTTAAAAAGAAATAATAGTGATCTGTGAATTTGTTTTATGTTTAATGGTAAACGTTCTCTCTGTACTGTAACAATGTTTTTATTTTTTGAAGTGAAAAGTTACAGTGAGGGTAAGATGAGCCACTCAGAAATAGGGTAGGAGAGTTCTTTCTGTTGTTTTATTGTTCCACTTAATAAGCATTATAATTCATGGAGTTATGATCTTACTATATATATTTATATATATGTGTGTGTGTGTGTGTATAGCTGCTTGATGTGTTCAGTCTTACTTTAGGATTTTGCTCTGTGCTCTTCAGGTGTGTTGTACCTGCGTGATCACGGGGAGGAGTATGTGTTTACATTCCCGAGTGCATACGCTCGATCCATCCTCACCGTGCCGTGGGTGGAGCTCGGAGGTAAGGTCACCATCAGCTGCGCCAAGACCGGATACTCGGCCAACGTTACATTCCACACCAAACCCTTGTATGGGGGCAAAGTTCACAGGTCAGTCAGCAACACTGATACTTAAATGAGACGTAATTGAGAGTGGTGATGATGATGATAAATGTGTGTGTTCAGGGTCAGCGCAGAGGTGAAGCAGAACTCCAGCGGGATGGTGGTGTGTAAAGCTCAGGGCGAGTGGAACGGGACGCTTGAGTTCATCTACAGCGGCGGAGAGACCAAAGTCATCGACACCAACAAACTGCCCGTCATCAGGAAGATGATTCGCCCTGTGGAGAAACAGGGCCAGAGCGAGTCCAGGTAAAACATTTTATAATATATATATATATATATATACATACATACATACATACATACATACATACATGCACACACTGCTACTCAATGTTAGGAATAATAATTGTTTTATGTTTTTGATATGTTTATATATACTGTATATATGTGTGTGTAATTTATTCCTGAGATGTAAAGCTGAATTTTCAGCATCATTACTCCAGTCTTCAGTGTCACATGATCCTTCAGAAATCATTCTGATATGCTGATTTGCTGCTGGAGAAACATTTCTAAATATTTTCATTTTATAATATATATATATATATATATATATACATACATACATACATACATACATACATACATACATACATACATGCACACACTGCTACTCAATGTTAGGAATAATAATTGTTTTATGTTTTTGATATGTTTATATATACTGTATATATGTGTGTGTAATTTATTCCTGAGATGTAAAGCTGAATTTTCAGCATCATTACTCCAGTCTTCAGTGTCACATGATCCTTCAGAAATCATTCTGATATGCTGATTTGCTGCTGGAGAAACATTTCTAAATATTTTCAGAAAAAAACAGTTTTGCTGCTTCATATTTTTTCTGGAAATCATAATGCAGTTTTATTTTTGCAGGATTCTTTGAGGAATAGAAAGTACAAAAGTCAGCATTTATTTGAAATAGAAATAAATAAACATAAATGTTTTTACTGTCACTTTTGATCAATTTAATGCATCCTTGCTGAATCAAAGTATTATATTATGCGTGTATATATATATATATATATATATACAC